GTCCCACAGTTGACAGTGCATGTCAGAGCAAAAACCAAGCCATGAGGTCGAAGAAATTAGTGGTTTAGTGGTCCGAAAATGTCGGAAACATTAACTTGCTTGACCATGCTGTAGGTCATATGCTTTGTTGACTTCACTGAACAGAGGTTGATATCCAGTTTTGTGGTAAAACAAAGGTGTGGTTGAATTTATTCTGCCACTGTGTCTTCTTATTGTCTCGGCCTATATATCACAGTCGCAAGGCATACTCATTAAAAGAGTTCCCCTGTCAGTCAATCTGCAAATCCGTGGCTCAGAACCACCAGATATATGCAATAAAAACGAATTGTTATCAAAAACAAAACTGTTGGTTCCAAAACCAATGAAAAAAATATAGTCTTTAAAACAACAAAATATGTACAAATTTGTCTAGGCTGCTACCAAGGTGCCATCAATTATATTTGGAATTATCAGTGGATAAATACAGCCCAATACAGTATATAGAGTGAGTTTAACCAGACCTGGGTTCAAATACTATTTAGGGTATTTTAATTACTTTCAAGACATTTTTTACTTAAAAAGACAAGTAGTTGAATATTTAAGCAAAATGGCATGAGATCAGTGACATCTTGGAGCTCAGGTCACAGTGCTCTGTATTCCACTGGAGTTTTACCTCCAGGTCTTCAGTATTCTAGCATTGTTTCCTGTGTTAGTTTCACCACAGAGGACCATAGGCTCTAAGCCCTTAGGAGCGTGTTATTCACAAAAATTCCCGGGTTCGAATGCCTTGTTGCTTTTATAAAATGGTTGGCAACAAAATGTAAAAGATTAACGACATATTTTCATTAACTTTATTTTAATGAGTAAATTCATTTTATTTCATCCTTCTACCGTACAATATAGTCTGGGCAAAAGCCAGTTGTTAGTTCTGAGATTCTGAAGTTAGCCAAATTGGATTCTATTGGCATGGTTGTTAGCAAAGCGGGCTGGTGGTCTGCTCTAAGCAAAAAGGTTACCATGCACGCTGGCTACTTCTGCTTTGCTAGCTAGCCAACTTAAACAAAAATGCACATTGTTTGCTGTCATTTCAGCTGCTGATGTAATTGTATGTTAGCGTGTTTTACCTTTGTTTTTATTGCTATTTCTTTGGATATATCCATAATAATGATCTTGATAAATGAATTTGCCTGGCTCAGAGAAGCTGTCAATCTCGTCCTGACGCGTTCATTCTCTAAATGGGACAGTGGAGATCGCAAAAAAAAAACAGCAACATTGTTGCACAGGTACGGAGAGGCAGGCAGCAAGGTTTAGACAAACCCCAATGTTGCAAACCAAATGCTAGGCTAAAATCATGGAGAAATAATGTCTAGATGCTATTTTCCAGTGGAGATTAAGTTTATGAATTGCCTAGCTGGACTGTGGGACAGTTGATGCGCATTCATAATTCAAATAGAACTGTTAACAGGCATTACCCAGGGAGATTGTTGTGAATAACTCCCTGCTATCAACCAATCAGCATCCAGGATCCAAACAACCCGTTTTATAATGGAATGTATTTGGAAATACACTTGGAAAGTATTTGAAAATGCTCAAATACACTGACTCAAATACACTCCCTTGCATTTAACCCAGGCATACAGCTGGGTTTATTTGAAAATACTTTCAAGTAGTAGGCTATTAATAGGAAATGATTTGAAAATGGTTTCAAATAAATACTTCCAATAGAAGTAGTTGATTCGGGCCACATTATTAGAAAATACGCAAATACACAGAAAATAAGTATTTAAATAACAAATAATCAAATACACATGTATTTGAACTCAGGTCTGGTTTTAACACCAATCCACCAGAAATGTTGTGTACCAATGACCCAGAAATGTTGTGGTATGTATGCAGCATGCACACACACAAATACAGCACTCAGATCCTGGCGTGATACAGGAGCTTAATAACATTTTTACCTGTTTGATTGAGTGAATTTGACTCAGATGGTGTTTACTTGCCGGCTTCCTGTTGCCAAGCTCCTGACTCATTGTTCACTTAACATCCACTCTAGCAGTAGATGTGGATAGGGTGGATATGCTGCTGAGATGTGGATGTATTATGGAGATGTGGCACACGCTGTGTTTCTGAGTGGTGTATGGCTAGTGTGCTGTTGAGATGTGTGTGGGTGTGTGTGTGTACGATTCAGAGCCTTTACACACCATCTGCAACAAGCAGCAGGAGCAGACCCATAAAGACAGTCTCCATGGAGGCAGAGAAACAAACCCACGTCACTGTTATTCTGTGGACTCAAATATGTGCCTATACAAAGCCAAATATACATGGCTTAAGTGCTCTAAACTGCCGAACAACAGTTGTCCTTTCCAAATATTTTATTGTCTTAGAGCACTACTAAATTCTTACCAACAGAACATTGCCAATAAATTATGCATTTTTATTACATTGTGTCTGGTATGTTATACTATCACTGGAAAATGCCAATAAATGAAAATGATGGATACTGTTTACACCAGTAAACACATCACAACACCACATGAAACGTAAAGTATTGTCAGCCAGAGAGCACCTACATATGTCACCCAATGCTTCATTAATATTTATGAACACTTTATGAACAGTTAATAAGCATTAATGAACTCCAAATAACAGTAAAATATCAGTGACATCTTGGAGCTCAGGCCACAGTGCTCTGTATTCCACTGGAGTTTTACCTCCAGGTCTTCAGTATTCTAGCATTGTTTCCTGTGTTAGTTTCACATTTACATTACATTTACATTTAAGTCATTTAGCAGACGCTCTTATCCAGAGCGACTTACAGTTAGTGAATACATATATATATATATATTTTTTTTCTTTTTTTTATACTGGCCCCCCGTGGGAATCGAACCCACAACCCTGGCGTTGCAAACACCATGCTCTATCAACTGAGCTACATCCCTGCCGGCCATTCCCTCCCCTACCCTGGACGACGCTGGGTCAATTGTGCGCCGCCCATGAGTCTCCCGGTCGCGGCCGGCTGCGACAGAGCCTGGATTCGAACCAGGATCTCTAGTGACACAGTTAGCACTGCGATGCAGCCTTAGACCACTGCGCCACTCAGGAGACCACAGAGGACCATAGGCTCTAAGGACTTAGTGATGACCATTGCCCACATACGACTGGACAGGAACACAAAAGAGGACAGGCTAGGCATGCTGATTCCTCCATCTCCTCCTGAGATTATTTGACATGGGGGCTGGGTGTTGGAGGAGGGCTGTGGAGGGTTGTTGCAGGGTTCAACACTCACACACACTGCCCGCTGCCCTGTGGTTCTGGTGTCAAGACTGTGTGCATACATTCGTGCTCTGTATGTCTGTGTGATCTGTGTGTGTCTGTTTATGCTCACATATACACTACCGTTCAAAAGTTTGGGGTCACTTAGAAATGTCCTTGTTTTCCATGAAAACATACATGAAATTAGTTTGAATAGGAAATATAGCAAAATGAATAGGAAATGTAGTCATTGACAAGGTTAGAAATAATGATTTTTAATTGAAATAATAATTGTGTCCTTCAAACTTTGCTTTCGTCAAAGAATCCTCCATTTGCAGCAATTACAGCCTTGCAGACCTTTGGCACAAGTTGGATTGGCTTGATGGGCACTTCTTATGGTCAAGCTGCTCCCACAACAGCTCAATAGGGTTGTGATCCGGTGACTGTGCTGGCCACTCCATTATAGACAGAATACCAACTGACTGCTTCTTCCCTAAATAGTTCTTGCATAGTTTGGAGCTGTGCTTTGGGTCATTCTCCTGTTGTAGGAGGAAATAGGCTCCAATCAAGCGCCGTCCACAGGGTATGGCATGGCGTTGCAAAATGGAGTGATAGCCTTCCTTCTTCAAGATCCCTTTTACCCTATACAAATCTCCCACTTTACCACCACCAAAGCACCCCATACCATCACATTGCCTCCACCATGCTTGACAGATGGCATCAAGCACTCCTCCAGCATCTTTTCATTTGGTCTGCGTCTCACAAATGTTCTTCTTTGTGATCCGAACACCTCAAACTTCGATTAGTCTGTCCATAACACTTTTTTCCAATCGTCCTCTGTCCGGTGTCTGTGTTCTTTTGCCCATCTTCATCTTTTCTTTGTATTGGCCAGTCTGAGATATGGCTTTTTCTTTGCAACTCTGCCTAGAAGGTCAGCATCCCGGAGTCGCCTCTTCACTGTTGACGTTGAGACTGGTGTTTTGCGGGTACTATTTAATGAAGCTGCCAATTGAGGACCTGTGAGGCGTCTGTTTCTCAAACTAGACACTCTAATGTATTTGTCCTCTTGCTCAGTTGTGCAACGGGGCCTCCCATTCCTCTGTCTATCCTGGTTAGTGCCAGTTTGCGCTGTTCTGTGAAGGGAGTAGTACACAGCGTTGTACGAGATCTTCAGTTTCTTGGCAATTTCTCGCATGGAATAGCCTTCATTTCTCAGAACAAGAATAGACTGACGAGTTTCAGAAGAACGTTCTTTGTTTCTGGCATTTTGAGCCTGTAATCGAACCCACAATTGCTGATGCTCCAGATACTCAACTAGTCTCAAGAAAGGCCCGTTTTATTGCTTCTTTAATCAGCACAACAGTTTGCAGCTGTGCTAACATAATTGCAAAAGGGTTTTCTAATGATCAATTAGCCTTTTAAAATGATAAACTTGGATTAGCAAACACAATGTGCCATTGGAACACAGGACTGATGGTTGCTGATAATGCGCCTCTGTACGCCTATGTAGATATTTCATAAAAAATCAGCCGTTTCCAGCTACAATAGCCATTTACAACATTAACAATGTCGACACTGTATTTCTGATCAATTTGATGTTATTTTAATGGACAAAAAAAATGCTTTTCTTTCGAAAACAAGGACATTTCTAAGTGACCCCAAACTTTTGAACGGTAGTGTACATGTGCATGATCCGTATGCTGTAGTATGTACAGTACATGTATATTCTTGTGTGCTTCTGACATTCCCTCCTCTTCTATCTGTAGACGATCCGTGCTGCCACTAAGCCCATGAGTGACTGTCTGCTGATGCTGAGGAACGAGCGCTGGAAGAGAGTACGCAGCATCCTCACCCCCTCCTTCAGCGCAGCCAAGATGAAAGAGGCAAGACCCCCCTTCTCTCTTCCTCTTTTCACCCCTGTCCTCTTCTCCTCTCTTCACCCCTCTCCTCTCCCACCATCTTCACCCCTCTCCTCTCCCACCATCTTCACCCAGCTCCTCTCCCCCTCTTCAATCTGCTGTGTGCATGAAACCCATGCACATATACTATCATAATTATACAGGCACACATATTTCTACCTATACAAGCTTATATCTACATGGAAGCCATACACATTCATAAACATCTACAGTGGGGAGAACAAGTATTTGATACACTGCCCTTTTGCAGGTTTTCCAGAAATCCAGAAAATCACATTGTATGATTTTTAAGTAATTAATTTGAATTTTATTGCATGACATATGTATTTGATCACCTACCAACCAGTAAGAATTCCAGCTCTCACAGACCTGTTAGTTTTTCTTTAAGAAGCCCTCCTGTTCTCCACTCATTACCTGTATTAACTGCACCTGTTTGAACTCGTTACCTGTATAAAAGACACCTGTCCACACACTCAATCAAACGGACTCCAACCTCTCCACAATGGCCAAGACCAGAGAGCTGTGTAAAGACATCAGGAATACAATTGTAGACCTGCACAAGGCTGGGATGGGCTACAGGACAATAGGCAAGCAGCTTGGTGAGAAGGCAACAAATGTTGGCGCAATTATTAGAAAATGGAAGAAGTTCAAGATGACGGTCAATCGCCCTCGGTCTGGGGCTCCATGCAAGATCTCACCCCGTGGGGCATCAATGATCATGAGGAAGGTGAGGGATCAGCCCAGAACTACACGGCAGGACCTGGTCAATGACCTGAAGAGAGCTGGGACCACAGTCTCAAAGAATCAATATCAAATACTTATGTCATGCAATAAAATGCAAATTAAATACTTAAAAATCATACAATGTGATTTTCTGGATTTGTCACGCCCTGGCTCTGGGGACTATGTTATGTTGAGCCAGGGTGTGTGATTCTATGTTTGTATATCTATGTTGGCCTGAGTGACTCCCAATCAGAGGCAACGAGTGTCAGCTGGTTGTCTCTGATTGGGAGCCATATTTAACTGTCTGTCTTTTCACTTTGTGTTGTGGTTTCTTGTTCCGTGTTGGTTTGTTTATGTAACCAAGGACGTCACGTTTCGTTGTTTTGATCGTGTGATCATTCGTATAATAAATATGTTTGCTTTCAACGCTGCGCCTTGGTCCGCTTCCTGTAACGATCGTGACAGAAGAAACCACCATAACAGGACCAAGCAGCGTGAAGAAGAGAGAGGATGGACTTTGGAGCAGTGGGGTGAGAGTCTGGCGAGAACGATGGAGGCCTGGCCCACGGGGAGGAGAGACCCCCAGAAATTTTTTAGGGGGGGCTCACGACGTCGGGGCAGCAGGAGGCCGCGATAGAGCAGTCCAGCGGGTTGGCAGAAGAGGCCGCCAGGTTACGGGAGTCACTGGTCACCAGGGGGAAGGAGGTTGTAGAGGCACGGCGAGAGGTACTGGCGTGTGTTGCCAGTCCGGTCCGGCCTGTTCCTGATCCCCACGTAGGGCCAGTGGTGTGTGTTCCCAGTACGGTCCGGCCTGTTCCTGCCACTCCCACCAAGTCTGTGGTGCGCGTCGCCAGCCCAGTCCGGCCCATCCAAGCTCCCCGCACCAAGTCTGTGGTGCGCGTCGCCAGCCCAGTCCGGCCCATCCAAGCTCTCCGCACCAAGTCTGTGGTGCGCGTCACCAGCCCAGTCCGGCCCATTCCTGCTCCCCGCACCAAGTCTGTGGTGCGTTTCGTCAGCCCTGTCCGGCCCGTTCCTGCTCTCCGCACCAAATCTGTGGTGCGCGTCGCCAGCCCAGTCCGGCCCATCCAAGCTCCCCGCACCAAGTCAGTGGTGCGCGTCGTCAGCCCGGTCCGGCTCATTCCTGCTCCCCGCACCAAGTCAGGGGTGCGCTTCGTCAGCCCGGTCCGGCCCATTCCTGCTCCCCGCGCCAAGGCAGTGGTGCGCTTCGTCAGCCCGGTCCGGCCCATTCCTTTACCCCGCACCAAGGCAGTGGTGCGCTTCGTCAGCCCGGCTCGGCCCATTCCTGCTCCCCGCACCAAGTCAGTGGTGTGCTTCGTCAGCCCAGTCCGGCCTGTCCCTGCTCCACGCACCAAGCCTATGGTGTGCGTCGTCAGCCTGGTAAGGCCCGTTCCTCCTCCACGCACCAAGCCAGGGGTGCGCGTCGTCAGTCCAGCACAACCCGTGCCTGGGTCATGTCCGGAGCCGGATCCGCCGCCGAGGCGGAGTGCCCACCCGGTCCCTCCCCTGTTGTGGTTGTTTGGCGCGGTCGGAGTCCGCGCCTTTGGGGGGGGGTACTGTCACGCCCTGGCTCTGGGGACTATGTTATGTTGAGCCAGGGTGTGTGATTCTATGTTTGTATATCTATGTTGGCCTGAGTGACTCCCAATCAGAGGCAACGAGTGTCAGCTGGTTGTCTCTGATTGGGAGCCATATTTAACTGTCTGTCTTTTCACTTTGTGTTGTGGTTTCTTGTTCCGTGTTGGTTTGTTTATGTAACCAAGGACGTCACGTTTCGTTGTTTTGATCGTGTGATCATTCGTATAATAAATATGTTTGCTTTCAACGCTGCGCCTTGGTCCGCTTCCTGTAACGATCGTGACAGGATTTTTGTTTTAGATTCCGTCTCTCACAGTTGAAGTGTACCTATGATAAAAAATTACAGACCTCTACATGCTTTGTAAGTAGGAAAACCTGCAGAATCGGCAGTGTATCAAATACTTGTTCTCCCCACTGTATATAGCCATGCAGATTTAAATAATATAAATAAATAAATAATATGCCATTTAGCAGATTTCTACTTGATCTGGCTAGTCACCAGAGTAGAAGGCCTTCAGTAGCTAGCAATTTTTTCTCATCTTTTCATTTTTGTGGATTAACCAGAATCATTATCTTAATAGAAGTTGTCTCCATTTAGAGCCTGCCCAGCCCAACGATTGAAAATAGGTTGTTGACGTAAAAATGTTAAAGAGAGTCAGGGGATTTAAGGAATAGCACGGGAGATTGACGCCCGTAATTTAGTCGGAAAATGATAGCTTGTCTCCATCGAAGGCTTTCAAGCATTACATCTAATTAACGTCTGATAAACCAATGTGATCTGGTTATCTCTCTTTCACTTTCTCTCTCCCTCTTTCCCTCTCTCCTTCCCTCCCCCCTCTCCAACTCCCCATCTCCATCCCTCCCTCTGTGCCTCTCCTCCTCTCTCTCGCTGACTTCTGTGTATGGCCTGACATTATAATAGTGTCATTAGAACAAACAGTGGTTCTACTACTTTATAGCGTGGAACATAATTACCGGGGCCTGTTGGAACAGCATGTTTTATGTGCTCGTTGAGTCCCCTCTACACTGATACACTGACTCAGTGATTGAGAGAGATTGGTGAGCCTGCCTGCCTGCCTGCCTGCCTGCCTGCCTGCCTGCCTGCCTGCCTGCCTGCCTGCCTGCCTGCCTGTGACACCAGAGGCAGCAGCCATGAACAGACGTCAGGAGCTGCTATTGAAATGAACTAACTGCTCTCATAGCATTATAAAGACCAACCAAACCAAAGACCCTCTATTCTCCAAGTAGCGTGTGTGTGTGTGTGTGTGTGTGTGTGTGTGTGTACATCACACAGTTTCTCAGAACTATCAATATAAAAGAGGAAGGCATTGTTTTGAGATAGCACCTCCTGTGCTGTATATAAAAGTCATTGGAACATTGTATGCCTGTAACTGATCGAGTGCAGGATTTACACTGGATGACATAATGCCAAGGCATAATGTAAAATAGACACACTAGAAATGTAACAGTAGGTATGTAATTATCGTGTAGTAGGGTAGCGGTAGGTGGTCATTTAGCTGGACCGTTAATTGTGATTAAGGCTGTGGTGGTATGTTTCCACGGCAACCACCAGCGGTAGGCTAGAAGGAAACCACACACACTCATCTGTCACGCTCCAGATGCAGCTGAGTACACTCGCCTGAAGACAAACTGTTAGCGGATAACCACTAAGGATAAAGTGTTTAGGCTGAAAGTCAGTTATGACTGTTTTTGTGTTTACACATTGTCCCACGCAGGTAGCTTTTGTAAACGATGAGTAATTCCTGCTGTAATTGACAGTTTGGATTGTATTTGTTACATGCAATCAGTCCCTCAATTCGAGGGTGTACTCTGTGTGAATGACAATCAGTGTGTTTGTGTACACGTGGACTTTCTCTCACTTTCTCTGAGTGTGTGTGATTCATATTCTGTACAAAAAAAGTTAATAAAAGGAACAGGCTGGGAACTCAGTTAACAATATCATTGAGATTGGAGTTGCAGTCAGGGAGAGTTAATGACTAGTTATTGCTTTCTGTGTTTCTATTTAGGAGTCACACATTTCTCAATCAGTCAACATGTTTGTCTGACTCTGATGTTATGAAGCAAGGTTGTGTGAACAATCAGGGTGTGTATAGTGTAGTAATAGGGCAGTGTTCTGAGCAGGGTTATGTTAGCAACGTACCTACTTCCCTCATACACACACGTCCAGTTAATGAGTGGAGACATGCTAATTTTGCGCCCCACACACACACACACAGTCCTGCTCCAGAATTTAGCATGGGAGAATGAGCCAGTGGCATAGGACTGGCATGAATATGAATCATTTACGAGAGCATAAACCACTGACTTTACGATCGCCACCAAACAAACGCTCAGACAACTGCTGATCTGAATTCGGTCACATTACCCAGATACGTTTTTAGTGATGTCTGTTTTAGTTTACTGCTGTTTACAATCATAGCGCTCCAGTCTGTTTGCTGAGTGAGTGAGTGGACAGAACAGATGGAGAGAGAGAAAGAACAGTTGTGACCGCTGCTGAGAGGATGTGGTGGTGGTCTCTGGATCAATCTGCTCCTGTCTGAAGAGGGACAGATATGCTGTGACAGGATACACTGTTGAGGCTCACTCTGTGATAAGAGGAAGCTGTTGGGTCTATCTATCTATCTATCTATCTATCTATCTATCTATCTATCTATCTATCTATCTATCTATCTATCTATCTATCTATCTATCTATCTATCTATCTATCTATCTATCTATCTATCTATCTATCTATCTATCTATCTCTATCTCTCTCTGTGTCTCTCTCTGTCTCTCTCTCTCTCTATCTCTCTCTCTCTGTTTCTCTATCTCTCTCTCTCTGTCTCTCTCTCTCTCTCTCTCTCTCTCTCTCTCTCTCTCTCTCTCTCTCTCTCTCCTCTCTCTCTCTCTCTCTCTCTCTCCTCTCTCTCTCTCTCTCTCTCTCTCTCTCCTTTTTCTTGTGTGTCTGTGTCTGTTTGTGTGTCTGTCTGCCTGCTGTAGTCTGGCTATGTTTGACTGACCAGTAGTCCCTGCATATCCTCTCAGCTGGCAGCGCCATGGTGTATAGATTTTAATTTGAGCCACCCTGCGCCTGTAGACGGGGAGGATACTGCTCCTGTCATAACCTATCAGGCTGCTCGTGCTTCTTCATCTGTCCTCCCTCTCTCAGGTCCAGACCCCAGTACCCTCTCCTCAGCCTCAGACTGACCAGTCTTAGCCCGATTCTTAGCCTCAGGCCTCATCCTTAGACTAGTCAATTTTAGTTTATGTTGGCATATACACTCATTGGCCAGTTTATTAGGTATCCTGTTCACGAAAATGGTTTGCTCCTACAGACAGTGAGTCACGTGGAGGCAAAGGGGGTTCCGACCCAGTACTAGATGGGTGTACTTAATAAACTGGCCACTGAGTGTATAAGCCCCAGTCTTAGCCCCATTCCCATTCCCCAGCCAGTCTATGATGATAAGGCTGGGGCTAATACTAGTCTAAGTCTAAGGTTGTGACTAGGGCTGTGGCTAGTCACAACCTTAGACTTAGACTGGTCAATTTTACTTTATTTTTACATGGAAGCTTATATAAACTTATACTGGTCTTAGCCCCCTCTCCAGCCTAATTATTAGACTGGTCTTATTAGCGTTCACAACCTTATCCTGTGACTAGGGTTGCCCCATCCCCGGCATCCAACCTCAGCCTTATCCTTATCTTTATGAATTGTAGTTTATTTTGACATTATATTAACTTACAGAGTAGACTATGCTCAATATTATGCCCGAAGTGACATTGATGCCAATGACGGTAGCCCTGCATGTCACAGTCATGTAACTGCTTCGGTCACAGCTCATTGTACCCATAATGCTACAGCATGTTTATCCATTAGTATCTCCTCTTGTGGAAGGATCTCATTTCCCATTTGATCCCAGCGTGTATTGATCGCTGGGGAGGTGTAGCGTGCTGAGGCTGAGAGGAGATGAGGAGATGGCGAGGGTAGATAGGGGAGATGTGTAAACCTTGTCTAGATTTCTCCCCATCTCCGCATCTCTCTCTCGCTTTCTCTCTGTGCCCTCTCTCCCGCTCCTCCTCATCCCCAAATCTTCTGTCAGAGCTGAGTGGCTCCTCTGATTTGGTCGGTCACGCCCCCCCCCCCCCCCGACTGTGTCTCCTTTGCTGTTCAGTTTGGATGGAGGGCTGAGAGCTGCTCAGGGGAGGCAGATCTGTGGCATGTTTGGCCGTTCCTCTGAGGACTGTGTGCGTGCGTGTGCTGTCTGAGGGGGATCAGTAGACAGCGCTAATGTCTGCTGCTCCCTGATCACAGGTCCAGTGGAGGGAGATGGAGCAGAGAGACCAACCTAGGGTAGAGCCTCACACTCAAGGCCTCTTTATCACTCTCTCTCTCTCTCAAAGTTTCTCTCTCGCTCTGTTTCTCTCTCTCTCTTTCTCTCTCTCTCTCTCTTTCTCTCTCTCTCTCTGTTTCTCTCTCTCTCTGCTGTACTGGCTGTAGAGAAAGAGAGGGAGACTGCTGTACTGGCTGTAGAGAAAGAGAAGGAGACTCTGCTGTACTGGCTGTAGAGAAAGAGAAGGAGACTCTCTGCTGTACTGGCTGTAGAGAAAGAGAAGGAGACTCTGCTGTACTGGCTGTAGAGAAAGAGAAGGAGCCTCTGCTGTACTGGCTGTAGAGAAAGAGAAGGAGACTCTCTGCTGTACTGGCTGTAGAGAAAGAGAAGGAGACTCTGCTGTACTGGCTGTAGAGAAAGAGAAGGAGACTCTCTGCTGTACTGGCTGTAGAGAAAGAGAAGGAGACTCTGCTGTACTGGCTGTAGAGAAAGGGAAGGAGAAAGCGAGCAAGATATGAAGAGAGAGAGGGAGACGGCACAGCCCGGAATATTCTGGAACCCTGACACTCAGCAGTGAGACCTGGGGTTCAGAGGGTGTGTCATAATTTTTTCTCATGTCCCTTTAGTAAATATTCCACTGTCCTTCCTCTCTGTGGTCAAATATGTGTTAGTGTCCTCATTTTCTTTGATAAGACGAGACTGGGAGTTGACCTGAGGATTTGTTGTTTTTGATATTTGTACATTTCTAATAAGTTCTGTATCTGAGACATGTTGCTACTGCAGTATAACTCTGTCTGCCCTGGAGAAGTTATGGTAGAGAGATAGTGTTCTTCTTGAGATCTGTCTCTCTCAGTTCCGCATTGTAACACAGCAATCACCATGCTCAGAAGAGCTCTTCCCTTAATGAATAAATGAATTAATTAGATATCTGTTTGATCCATCATCATCAGGGTTCTTTTCCCCTTGGTAATGACCTCTGTAATGGCAATGACTTTAATGGGATTTTAATTGATTCAGCTCCTCTCTTTGCCTCATGGTGTCCTCACACACACAAACACACACACACTTTTCTGAGAGGGGCTGGAGGTGAGGAGGAGAGGAGTTGGCACCACACACACAGCAGCAGTATCCCCTCCTGTACTTATGACCAGGACTGATTCATTCAAGTGGACCACTTAACATTCACCCCTGATTCCATCTCGCACATTTGTCAGATGAGTCTTGATTTAAAAGTTTTTTTCTGCACAGGAAGAGATGAAAAGGGATAATTTGTTTTATCTATATTCATAGGCATATGATATGATATTTTGCAGCGAATTTGGGGGGTAGCCCGACAGAGACTTGAACCGGGGTCCAATGACTGTCAACCTAAGACCTTAGTCGCTGCGCCAAGAGATCCAAACCTCTTCAAATGGTCCCTAGGTGTTAGCTTAACATTATGTTAGATGAGTATAGAATGTAGATGATAATGTTTCTGTCTCTGTCCCTGTGCAGATGGGTCCACTGATCAACATGGCCACGGACACCCTGCTCACTAACCTGAATGGACATGTCGAGTCTGGAGAGAGCTTTGACATTCACAGGTACTGTAACTACAGTAACTTTCCCTCTCATAGGGGTCATTATAAGGATTTTTCATTCATTGTTATCCTGTATTTTTCCAGACAAACATGTTTGGAAATCCAATTCAAACGTCTACAACCAGCGGTAAAATCAGATGTTTATAATGTAATATTAATTGTATAAGGGCTATATAATATCCTCCACATACAGTGGGGGAAAAAAGTATTTAGTCAGCCACCAATTGTGCAAGTTCTCCCACTTAAAAAGATGAGAGAGGCCTGTAATTTTCATCATAGGTACATGTCAACTATGACAGACAAATTGAGAAAAAGAAAATCCAGAAAATCACATTGTAGGATTTTTAATGAATTTATTTGCAAATTATGGTGGAAAATAAGTATTTGGTCACCTACAAACAAGCAAGATTTCTGGCTCTCACAGACCTATAATTTCTTCTTTAAGAGGCTCCTCTGTCCTCCACTCGTTACCTGTATTAAAAGACACCTGTCCACAACCTCAAACAGTCACACTCCAAACTCCACTATGGCCAAGACAAAAGAGCTGTCAAAGGACACCAGAAACAAAATTGTAGACCTGCACCAGGCTGGGAAGACTGAATCTGCAATACATTTACATTTACATTTTAGTCATTTAGCTGACGCTCTTATCCAGAGCGACTTACAGTTAGTGAATACATCTTTTTTTTATACTGGCCCCCCGTGGGAATCAAACCCACAACCCTGGCGTTGCAAACGCCATGCTCTATCAACTGAGCTACATCCCTGCCGGCCATTCCCTCCCCTACCCTGGACGACCCATTCCCTCCCCTACCCTGGACGACGCTGGGCCAATTGTGCGCCGCCCATGAGTCTCCCGGTCGCGGCCGGCTGCGACAGAGCCTGGATTCGAACCAGGATCTCTAGTGGCACAGTTAGCACTGCGATGCAGTGCCTTAGACCACTGTGCCACTCAGGAGGTAAGCAGCTTGGTTTGAAGAAATCAACTGTGGGAGCAATTATTAGGAAATGGAAGACATACAAGACCACTGATAATCTCCCTCGATCTGGGGCTCCACGCAAGATCTCACCCCGTGGGGTCAAAATGATCACAAGAACGGTGAGCAAAAATCCCAGAACCACACGGGGGGACCTAGTGAATGACCTGCAGAGAGCTGGGACCAAAGTAACAAAGCCTACCATCAGTAACACACTACGCCGCCAGGGACTCAAATCCTGCAGTGCCAGACGTGTCCCCCTGCTTAAGCCAGTACATGTCCAGGCCCGTCTGAAGTTTGCTAGAGTGCATTTGGATGATCCAGAAGAGGATTGGGAGAATGTCATATGGTCAGATGAAACGAAAATAGAACTTTTTGGTAAAAACTCAACTCGTTGTGTTTGGAGGACAAAGAATGCTGAGTTGCATCCAAAGAACACCACACCTACTGTGAAGCATGGGAGTGGAAACATCATGCTTTGGGGCTGTTTTTCTGCAAAGGGACCAGGACGACTGATCCGTGTAAAGGAAAGAATGAATGGGGCCATGTATCTTCAAGGGCATTGAAGATGAAACGTGGCTGGGTCTTTCAGCATGACAATGATCCCAAACACACCGCCCGGGCAACGAAGGAGTGGCTTCGTAAGAAGCATTTCAAGGTCCTGGAGTGGCCTAGCCAGTCTCCAGATCTCAACCCCATAGAAAATCTTTGGAGGGAGTTGAAAGTCTGTGTTGCCCAGCTACAGCCCCAAAACATCACTGCTCTAGAGGAGATCTGCATGGAGGAATGGGCCAAAATACCAGCAACAGTGTGTGAAAACCTTGTGAAGACTTACAGAAAACGTTTGACCTGTGTAATTGCCATCAAAGGGTATATAACAAAGTATTGAGAAACTTTTGTTATTGACCAAATACTTATTTTCCACCATAATTTGCGAATAAATTCATAAAAAATCCTACAATGTGATTTTCTGGATTTTATTTTCTCATTTTGTCTGTCATAGTTGACGTGTACCTATGATGAAAATTACAAGCCTCTCTCATCTTTTTAAGTGGGAGAACTTGCACAATTGGTGGCTGACTAAATACTTTTTTTCCCCACTGTACCGTATTGTGTTGACTGGGTTGGTACTCTCTCCTCAGGTGTTTTGGCTGTTTCACCATGGACGTCATAGCTAGCGTGGCCTTTGGCACCCAGGTGGACTCTCAGAAGGACCCAAATGACCCATTTGTTCACCACGCCCAGAAGTTCTTCTCTTTCTCCTTCTTCAGACCCATCATGTTCGTCTTCAGTGAGTACTGTGGAGCCCTGCCTTATTGCAACTAACTCATCATAGGCTTAGAAATACTGTCTAGAAAACAACTATACTACTACAAAAAAATTAGCAAAATGAAAGAGAGAAACATTTTAAAACAGAAGTGTTATGTTTTAAACATAATAATACACACCATTTCTCACAATATTGGACTCTATATACAGTCTATATTACAAGGGGCATGTCCAATGAACATATATTGCATTCCCTAGCTGCTGCCGTAAGTGGACTGACACAGACAGTATTGTATTTCTTCTTCTCTTGCTGTGTACAGTTGCTTTCCCATTCCTGGCTCCTCTGGCCCGGGTCCTCCCCAACAAGAGGAGGGATGAGATGAACAACTTCTTCATCAACTGCATCCAGAAGATCATCAGACAGAGAGATGAGCAGCCTGTTGAAGAGGTACAGTATGTTTCTGAACTTTCCTATTCTGTAAAATCTTCTGCTCCTTTATAAAAGATGGGAATGGATTTGCAATTATGAAGGACTCTTGTTATCTCTCCCTTCTCTCTTCTTGATCTTTGAATGTGTGTGCGTGTGTGTGTTCTCATGTTTATTTCACCTTTATTTATACAGGTAAATCAGTTTAGATCAAAATCTTATTTACAATGATGACCTGTCAAAAAAGATCTATAAACAGCCCATCAATAAACAACCCATCAATAAAAAAAATCTATAAACAACACATCAATAAACAATAATTGTGTTTGTGTGTGTGTGTGTGTAGCGCCGGCGAGACTTCCTGCAGCTGATGCTGGACACGCGCAGCACCAAGGAATGTGTGTCTCTTGAACACTTTGATGTGGTGAACCATGCCGATGAACTGGCCCACACACACCACTCCGGGGAGCAAGAAAATGGCGGCGTCGGCAGCCACGAGTCGCCCAACAGGCGCTCGGTCCAGACCCAGAAGAGGATGATGTCGGAGGATGAGATAGTGGGTCAAGCGTTTGTGTTCTTCCTGGCAGGGTACGAGACCAGTAGCAACACCTTGGCCTTCACCTGCTACCTCCTGGCTCTACACCCAGAGTGTCAGAGCAAACTACAGGCTGAGGTGGATGACTTCTTCACCAGATATGTGAGTATGGGGTTCTGGCTTAACTGTATGCACCTTACGTTCACAATCTCCTTCATTTGTCCTTACAGTATGTGTGCCATGATGGACTATTGATACTACTAAGATCCAAACCAGATTATGTAAATGGAACCACACTGATTAGGCCCTAATCTATGGAATTTCACATGACTGGGAATACAGATATACATGTGTTGGTAGGGGCATGGATCAGAAAACCAGTCAGTCTCGTGTGAACACAATTTGCCTCATGCAGCGCGACACATCTCCTTCGCATAGAGTTGATCAGGCTGTTGATTGTGGCCTGTGGAATATTGTCCCAATCCTCTTCAATGGCTGTGCGAAGTTACTGGATATTGGCGGGAACTGGAACACGCTGTCGTACACGTCGATCCAGAGCATCCCAAACATGATCAATGGGTGACATGTCTGGTGACTATGCAGGCCATGGAAGAACTGGGACATTTTCAGTTTCCAGGAATTGTGTACAGATCCTTGCGACATGGGGCCGTGCATTATCATGCTGAAACATGAGGTGATGGCGGCGGATGAATGGCACGACAATTGGCATCAGGATCTCGTCACGGTATCTCTGTGGATTCAAATTGCCATCGATAAAATCCAATTGTGTTCATTGTCCGTAGCTCATGCCTGTCCATACCATAACCCCACCGCCACCATGGGACACTGTTCACAACGTTGACATCAGCAAACCGCTCGCCCACACGACGCCATACACGCCGCCATCTGCCCGGTATAGTTGAAACCGGGATTCATCCGTTAAGAGCATACTTCTCCAGCGTGCCAGTGGCCATCGAAGGTGAGGATTTGCCCACTGAAGTTGGTTACGACGCCGAACTGCAGTCAGGTCAAGACCCTGGTGAGGATGACGAGCACGCAGATGAGCTTCCCTGAGACGGTTTCTGACAGTTTGTGTAGAAATTCTTCGGTTGTGCAAACCCACAGTTTCATCAGCTGTCCGGGTGGCTGATCTCAGACGATCCCGCAGGTGAAGAAGACGGATGTGGAGGTCCTGGGCTGGGTCTGCGGTTGTAAGGCCGGTTGGACGTACTGCCAAATTCTCTGGCAACAGCTCTGGTAGACATTCCTGCAGTCAGCATGCCAATTGCACACTCCCTCAAAACTAGAGACATCTGTGGCATTGAGATGCATGAAAAAACTGCACATTTCTGTCCCCAGCACAAGGTGCACCTGTGTAATGATCCTGCTGTTTAATAAGCTTCTTGAAATGCCATTATCTTGGCAAAGGAGAAATGCTCACTAACAGGGATGTACAGTAAACCAATTTGAGAGAAATAAGCTTTTTGTGCATATGGAAAATTCATGGGATCTTTTATTTCAGCTCATGAAACATGGAACCAACACTTTACATGTTGTGTTTATATTTTTGTTCAGTGTACATAGTTTAGCGCAGAAAACGTGGTAATGAACTACAATGACCATAATCCATTGCGTGCCTACTTGTCCGGTCTGTGTGTTTCTTTTACGCCTGCTAGGCTAGGTTAGATTAGTTTGGGGCAGATACAGAGAGAAAGAAGAGACAGAAGAATGCGCAATCGAGAAGGATAGAGCAGTTGCTTCGCAAGGTATCTCTTCCTGAAAATACATAATGATTGATAGTTTGTATTCAGCAGTCATAAAAGTATGCCTTATTTACATTGAAGATCTACTAAAATAGTGATTTTGTCAGACAGCATAGGCAGCAGCTCTATAGAGATGAGATGATGACTTGGAATGAAATAATAAAGTCATCAAATAAAACAAATGTAATAAACACAACAACTGAAATATTTTATTAAAGTAAAGGAATGTGAATGACCGAGAGACCCAGTTCTATATAAACTCCACCTCAATTGTAAGAAGGCCATCTCTGCTGCAGTGCCAGTCTGCCACGCTGCAGGCCAGCCGAGGTGATGAGTGTGAAAGACAGACAGTGATCGGCCCTGGCTGGAACAAAAATAAATGAGAGAGACTGGATTGGATGGGGGGGCATAGAGGGATGGGTGGGTTGGCATTTTTCAGATTGAGGATTTTCAATCTGTTTCTCCTGGGTCACAACAGCATGCAGTTTGACGTGCGCTGCCACTCTATTGTGAGATAAATAACACAGACAACAGCCAAGATTTTGCTGCATTCATTTTGGATGAAAACCAATCTTTGTCTGGCAGATGAAGCTGGGGGGTTGCAGCACAACAGGGGTGCACACCAGAGTATGTGAGTACGCTCATCGCTCATGGAGCGGTGCTTGCGTACCGCTCCGGCGCTCCATGTCCTATCCAACTGCTCTGCACTCACAGAGAAAAAAAATCACAATTTAACCAACACCCATCTATTTCTGTGACTACCTGGACCTACCATTTGGATTTGAAGTATTGACACAAAACCATATGATTTGAATGAAAAGTATTATAATTAACATGAAAATGTGAATGCAAGAAGTGCTCATAATTTCAAATAGGCTACATGTCATTTTAAACAGCATATAAACACTCTAAATACAGTAGGTCAGGAGCCAGACAGGGAGCCTAATGAGTTATTAAGGCTATATTATTTCTATTATTTCAAGGCTATAGCCTACAAAGAAATACATTGTGAAGCATTTGTGAGTGCGACACACTAGGCTGGTAGGGACATAAAGCTCTCAGTATTTAAACACCATTTTGTTGTAGTGTGTACCTGGCGCCGACGAGGATGGCGGCCTCGTGACTAGCTCTTAGGAAACTTTGCTGTATTTTTTTTTTGTATGTATAATTTTTACATTATTAGCTCAGAGAGTGTTTTGTATCATTACATACAGCTGGGAAAAACTATTGGATATCAGAGCGGCGGTAACTCACCAGCATTACGACCAGGAATACGACTTTCCCGAAGCAGATCCTTTGTTTGCTTTCCCCAGGGCAATATAACTGATTCCAGCGGCTGACCCAAAACATCGCCGGCGGAGGAGAGGCACTCGGATCGGCCTGCTGGTTTGACTTAGGAGGCGCGCACACCACCCATCGCTTCCAAGTATACTACTCGCTAATGTTTAGTCTCTGGTTAAGGTCGACGAGCTCCGGACAAGGATTTCTTTCCAGAGAGACATCAAGGCCCGTAACATACTTTGTTTCACGGAAACATGGCTCTCTGGGGATATTCTGTCGAAATCGGTCTAGCCAGATGTCACGGCCGTGTATATCCCCCCTCAGGCCGATACCACGACGGCCCTCAAACATCTTCACTGGACTTTATGCAAACTGGAAACCACATATCCTGAGGCTGCATAGCAAGTTTGAGGACTAGGCCGCCAAAGTTCTATCAACATATCGACTGTTGTACTCGCGCTGCTAAAATCCTCGACCATTGCTTTTCTAATTTCCGTGATGGGTGTAAGGCCCTCCCCCACCCTCCTTTCGGCAAATCTGACCACAACTCCATTTTGCACTTCCCTTCCTATAGGCAGAAACTCAAACAGGAAGTACCCGTGCTAAGGACTATTCAACGCTGGTCTGACCAATCAGAATCCACACTTAAAGATTGTTTTGATCACGTGGACTGGGATATGTTACGGGTAGCTTGCGAAAATAATTTAGACAAATACACTGAAACGGTGACTGAGTTTATCAGGAAGAGTATAGGTGATGTTGTGCCCACTGTGACTATTAAAACCTACCCTAACCAGAAACCGTGGATAAATGGCAGCATTCGCGCAAAACTGAAAGCGCGAACCACTGCATTTAACCATGGCAAGGTGACTGGGAATATGGCAGAATACAAACAGTGTAGCTACTCACTCCGCAAGGCAATTCAACTGGCAAAACATCAGTATAGAGACAAAGTGGAGTCGCAATTCAACGGCTCAGACACGAGACGTATGTGGCAGGGTCTACAGACAATCATGGACTACAAAAGGAAAACCAGCCACGTCGCCGACACCGACGTCTCGCTTCCAGACAAGCTAAATACCTTCTTCGCCCGCTTTGAAGATAACACAGTGCCACCGATGAGGCCCACTACCAAGGACTGTGGCCTCTCCTTCTCTGTGGCCGACGTGAGTAAGACATTTAAGCTTGTTAACCCTCGCAAGTCTGCCGGCCCAGACGGCATCCCTAGCCGCGTCCTCAGAGCATGCGCAGACCAGCTGGCTGGTGTGTTTACGGACATATTCAATCTCTGACTTTCCCAGTCTGCTGTTCCCACATGCTTCAAGATGGCCACCATTGTTCCTGTACCCAAGAAAGCAAAGGTAACTGAACTAAATGACTATCGCCCCATAGCACTCAATCAATCAATTTTATTTTATATAGCCCTTCTTACATCAGCTAATATCTCGAAGTGCTGTACAGAAACCCAGCCTAAAACCCCAAACAGCTAGTAATGCAGGTGTAGAAGCACGGTGGCTAGGAAAAACTCCCTAGAAAGGCAAAACCTAGGAAGAAACCTAGAGAGGAACCAGGCTATGAGGGGTGGCCAGTCCTCTTCTGGCTGTGCCGGGTGGAGATTATAACAGAACCATGCCAAGATGTTCAAAAATGTTCATAAGTGACAAGCATGGTCAAATAATAATCAGGAATAAATCTCAGTTGGCTTTTCATAGCCGATCATTAGAGTTTAAAACAGCAGGTCTGGGACAGGTAGGGGTTCCATAACCGCAGGCAGAACAGTTTAAACTGGAATAGCAGCAAGGCCAGGCGGACTGGGGATAGCAAGGAGTCACCACGGCCGGTAGTCCCGACGTATGGTCCTAGGGCTCAGGTCTCTCAGTTGGCTTTTCATAGCCGATCATTTAGAGTTGAAAACAGCAGGTCTGGGACAGGTAGGGGTTTCGTAGCCGCAGGCAGAACAGTTGAAACTGGAATAGCAGCAAGGCCAGGCGGACTGGGGGCAGCAGGGTGTCATCATGCCCGGTAGTCCTGACGTATGGTCCTAGGGCTCAGGTTCTCAGAGAGAAAGAGAGAACGAGAGAATTAGAGAGAGCATACTTAAATTCACACAGGACACTGGATAAGACAGGAGAAGTACTCCAGGTATAACCAACTAACCCCAGCCCCCCGACACATAAACTACTGCAGCATAAATACTGGAGGCTGAGACAG